GCTGTGCATCCTGCTTTATCTGGGGAGTTCTGGCTCAGTGGGTGTGCGACATGGTGTCCTTTGATTATTTTTGTGTGTTTGCTTTTTAAATGTTTGAATGTAGAAGCTTTAGAATGTCTTGGCTCATTGTGAAAATGAAATTGGCAGTAACATTGTTTAGCAAATTTGGGAGACTTTCAAAGCTCTTCATATTGGTATTGCAGATTTCAGTTACTCAAAGTGTAACGGGGTAACGTTTCCACCTATCAGGCACTGCACATACGTTAATTTTGGAAATAAGCTCATTTTAAGATACTGTTTTCAATGCAGCCAAGTTCCTGTTTTCTTACAGAAAAACCACGATGAAAGTCCCAAAGCATTCCATGAGATATAAATGGACTTGGCATATAGTTATTTTCTTGTGATGTCCAATCCAAGTTCCTGTTAGATTTAAAAGGGTTTTGATCACAGATAGTTGTGTGCTGTTTACCTGCATATCTCAAGAAGCCTCTTTCTCTACAGTGATTTGGTTAAAATTCAGGTCTATCTTTATCCAGCGATTTACAGAATCTATTTTTAGTAAGTCAGTCCTTGAAGGCAAAATGTTCCACTGATGGCTCCTGCAGTATAATATTTGGTGGCATCAGCTTGTGAGAACTGCAGTAGTTGGTGAAGATCCACTTCTGGTATCTGGTTTAAGATCTGATATTTTTCCTCTGCTCAGAAAACTATTGTGCACAATTTATTAGTTCATTCTAGTGGTGATGACTTGACAAGGAGTGTAAATAGGTCAGCCTTCTAAAGCCTACCTGCAGTTGCTCTGCCTTTGGGGAGGGTTGTGCAGAAAATGGCCCTTTGTCCCATACAAAACACCGGGGGGATTTCTCAGCCCGAGCAAAGAATATACTGGGTGTGACTTTTCAGATTGCTGCGATGGGAGAAAGACCAAGAGGTAGATGTGAATGTTGTATCAGAAGGTCAAATATGTTACCAGCTGGCTCTGTTAAATTGTTTTTTGTGAATGTAAGAGTTGAAATACAATATTGTCCTTTTATGCCGTGGAACACTCGGTAGTTTAAATGTCACATTCATTGTCTCAATGGTCAACAGCAAATCTGTGGTGCTTGCTGTTTTTACCTTTGGGGATATTAGAGTGAACACGTTTTCCCAAGCATTGGTGCTGTAAACAAAGCATTGCTGTTTGTTACCTGTGGATAAGATTGTCTGCATTAGTGGAGCATCTCAGTGGATGTTTCGGATGCTGCTCTTGGTTGCATCACCTGGGAGGCTGGTGACAGCAGGTTCATTGCTCTTTCCCAGAGGAATGCTCCATAGTTTGAGGGCCTGTCTTCAGGGGCTCTGTCTCTGGGGCTCTGCTTTCCTGGTTGGTCATACATCTGCTTGGATGCTCAGGTGCTGAGATGGGAATAGGACAACGAGCAGCAGAAGAGACCGCTTTGGTTCAGGGCTCTAGTTTATGTGTGAGAATGAGTAGCTGGCTCATGGGTTGGTTTTGCAGTATCATTTGCAGGTGAACACATGTTGACTTTGGTGTCTTTTACTGCCTTTGTCTGCTAGTTATTTCCTAGTGCCTGTCTGCAAATGCTGTCTCACTGATCATGGTTTCCAGCCTTATCCACTTTCTCTCTCCTAGAAATTCCTCTCCCCGCTCAGTCTGTTTGCAACCTTCTGGGCACAGTTTGTGCCCACCCCAAGCACTGTAAGTGGAAATAGGAGCTGGTCATAAAAGACAGTGAAGAAAGGTTTGTTATTAATTTCCAACCTTGTTCTTTCTCATTTGGTAGGAATTATATATACATATATATGTACACACACAATATGTGTGTGTGAATATGTATATAAAATATTTCTGTGATATCCAGTGAATTCTGTTGCTTAGCCTGGAAATTATTCTCCTTACAGTTTTACCAACAACAATAAATGATTTAAGGTTGAAATTTTTAGAGTGACGTGACTTTAAAATCTCATTTTTGAAACTGTCTCAAGCTCTTAGGAACTTAACTTCATGGCATTTATGGTTTCTATATACTCTTGAAGGATATGGCAGGTAGACTCCTGAATTTCTAAGTCTCTTTAAGCTTTACGTGAAGATCTCTTTGTGACTCTGATTTCTAAGACTCTGCACCCTGCATCTAGATGGCAGCGATATAAATGAATGATCCATTTTCAAAAGTGTTAAGTTATTAAAGCATAATCAATTGATTATCATCTATTTTAGTAGTCATTTAATCCAATTATATGTATTTTTTTATTTTAATCCTTGGAATTCATTAATGAAAACTTGGAGCATTGCTTGTAGCCATGAAAAATTAGATTGAGTACACCCTGCCCTACTTAAACTGTGTATTAGCAAAGCTACTTTTTCCTCAAGAAATACTCTTTTTCACAGTTGGCGATGACTTTTTAAATGCTTTGGAAAAAACTCTCCCTAATTGATAACCAAAAATTAATCATAGTCAGATACTTCCAGTTTGCATTCAAATAAGGTATTTCTCTGTCTAAATAAGCTTCCCTTAGTTGATTATTCATATTGTAGTTCAAAATGTTTAAAAATGAAAGACAGAGTTGGATGAAATGTAGACTACTTAATACAGTGTGTATTTAATATAAAAGTCATGCATTATTCATTTTTGCAATTTGAATAACTTTGAATTTAGCATCCCTGTTCTTCATCTTTTCCTTTGATGAACAATTAATTATTAAAATATAATATTGTCAGCATATGGCACAAAAATCCTTGAAAGTGTAAAATGAGCTTCCTTCTCCTGCCATCCTTTGACAAAGGGATACTCCGTATTCACGGTTTTTCGCAGTGTTTATCCAGCATCTTAAGTGATTCCATCAGTCTAAATAAAAGATTACAAAAGTTTAAGATAGTTAAATTGTTAGTTTTAACTGAAACATTTTTTTCCTTAAGCTCAAGAGGAGAGCACTTTTCAAAATGTGCCTCTGCCTCCCATCTGTTCCATGTACAGTCATTTTCCGTTAATGCAAAGAGGATGTTTGCATGTTCAAATGCTCTTTTGGATTCATCGTGGCCACTGTGTGCTCAGCTCCCATATAGAGAGAGGCAGCTTCTGAAATAGAAAGCTGGTGTCGAGTGTGTGTGTGTGCTGCATTTGGAAATCAAGTCCTGTGACTGAGTTTGTACTTTTTCTAACCAAGTTTTGCTGCATAAAAATGAGCCAATCAAATTAAATACGACCTTTTGCTGTGATTATAGCTTCTTGATTAGAATCTCTTTGAACTTTGGCCAATCATATATATTTTAATATTTATTATTTAAGCACTTTTTTTTTCCCCCCCGAGGTATGTTATGATGAGGAAAAAATGTGGTTTATTATTTGTTTGTTTCCTTTTTGGAGGTGCAGAAGTGGTTGAAATCTACCTGGATTAGGAGGAAAGGAGTTGCTAATGAAGATATTGCAGTATTGCCTTGACTTTATTAAAATTACTCATATTTTAGAATGCCAAAGGCTATGAAAACATTGCACACCTGTTGATACTATGCAGAAAATAGAAGATATCTGAAGTGCATGTATCATTGGCACTTTGCAGCAGCAGTGGAGGAAGAAAAATCCCTGATTATCAGACTGCTGCTTAGAAGTATTGGCAACTCCTGACTTGATCAAGACTTCTAGAGAACTGTGGGATGCTGGGGAAGTGAATTCTGCAGACTTCATCCCTTTTGGAAGATGTGTGTGTCAATCACCAGCCTACCTGCTTCTCCACTCTGTTGGGGCGGGGAGGGGGCTGGTGGGTTTGCTTAGCAGCTGTGGTGAGGCAGAAAGAGAAGACTTCCCCTTACCCAAATGTGGGCTCCTGTGGGAGGCATGCAGGATATCGAAAGTGAGGAATAGAGATGTACAGCCTGGCATGTCAGCATGCCTGGAGGCAGTGAGCACCTTTGCACAGGCTGATAGGGCGCTTCAGCCTGTGAGTCAACATAAATTGCAGAGGATAAATGCTCAGGGATGGCAGGGAAATTGTCTTGCCTGCAGCTGTTCCCTTCTTTTGTTTATTTATTTTTCTTCGCAGTGTTAAATATTACTAGCTTGTCATTGTTACTTGAAGGTAAATGCTTCCAGTGCTTAGGTCTGCATTTCAAGCTGTCCAGGGAGCTTCTCAGAGGAAAAGGGTTTGTCCCTGAGACTGCTGGACTCTAGGAAGGAGTTTCTTGGATTTGGGAGAAGAGGCAGCAGTTTTACTTCTGAAACATTCCTGGTGCTGTGCTGACTGTGTCTGGCAGCACCCTGGCAATGCCTGTGTGGCTGGGTGCAGGCAGTCCTGGGTGAGCACTGAGTGGATGTTGCTTTGAGCACCATGTCGAGCTTCAGACATGCCCTGCTGCCCTGTACTCCTGCTGCCCTGTACCCCTGCTGCCCTGTACCCCTGCTGCCCTGTACCCCTGCTGCCCTGTACCCCTGCTGCCCTGTACCCCTGCTCCTCAGCTCGTCCTCCTGGAAGCTCCCAGAGAAGTCTGGCTGAGCAGCATGGCTCTGCCTCCTCCATCTCAGCAACCCACCGAGGCTTTGACCCCGCTCCTGCGGCAGAGGTGGGATGGATACGCTGCCTGATGCTCTTCGCTCTGGCAGCAGCAAGCAGGGCCACTGGGGCCTGGCTGTGTCGGGCTGGGTCCTGGTGAACCCTCGCTGCCGTCGAGGTGAAGAGCCGTGTACTGAGTGCTGAAACCATTGAATGCAGTGTTATGTCGATGCTAACAGAAACCAGTGGGATAGCAAGTGCATTTCACACCTGCACACATTCAAAACAGGCGGGTGTGTGTTCGGTATGGGACTGACTAGCATTTTGGCTGCTCTTTTAATAATCCACGCATCAGCTCTTACAGAGCCTTTCTGGTAGGGTGTTCCCATCTTTCACTACATACATGATAAAATATGTTGTTGCCATTACACCTTGTTAGGCTGCCTAGCAATGTGATGTCTGTTTTAAAGACACATAAAAAAAAAGTGTAATTCTGCTTGTCAATCTTCCCACAGAGAAGGAGACCTTTCTGGATCCCTTTGTGCTGAGGGAACTTCTGCCAACTTCGCTGGGGAGCTACTACCGCTACACAGGTTCCCTGACTACTCCTCCGTGTAGCGAGATCGTGGAGTGGATCGTTTTTCGGAAACCTGTTCCCATTTCTTACCATCAGGTGTGTTCATTTTGTTAGTGAAGTCCATCTCTTGATTTGCCCTCCTTAAGACGGCATTTTCAAAACCTGCCGGTTTAGTTTTGAGAACACAGATATTTCTGTTGACAAAAAAGGAAGTGTCGGTGATTTTTTTTTTTATTCTCTTAAGCAATATTGTTTCTGAACATGAGCCATCAGTCTTGAGAAGACAGTACAACATGAAACCCAGTTTCCTTTCAGTGATTTATTTGGTATTGTTTTTGTTAAGATTAAATTAAGCTATGGTATAAATATTTACATGGAGTTCCTTTTTATTCTTTTTAATTGAAACTTTCTTTTCAAAGTAAAGTGAGAGATTTCAGTTCTGCTCAGATTTAGTAATTTGAACTAATTACATTAGAAAAGACATCTTTCCATTAATTCTCCATGCTTAACTGTTTTTATAACACAGTAAAGCTGCCATTATGTGCTCTGAGAGCTGGTGCACAAATCTTTAAAATTAGCACATAGTAGCTTTTAATGCAAATAGACACAATGTCTGGAGTTTGAAGAATGCTCCTGATAAAGCAATGGCTAGATGCAGTCAAATGTTTACCAGTTCAGTGCATTTTGACATTGTAAGACTGTTGTCTTTAGAAAGTCAACCTGCTGGAGTTAGTCTTGCCTTTTATTCATCTGGCATAAACCGCTGAAAACAAACTTTTTACATACACTAATTCTGTGAAGCACAAATGAACAGTTCGTTGGGTGATCATGACTGACAGATACTGTGCTCAGAGGTTCATAAGTATAGAAGGCAATTGCCATGCTCCTGCTCCGGGATTTTTTTAACATGTTTTCTAGTTCATGTTGCTTCTTCTGGAGACTATTTCATCTTTTTCTGACAGGCCATGTCACAGTGCTTCAGCTGGGGCCCTCCAGGGGCTGAGGGACACGGCAGGATCCATGTCTCCAGCCACCTGTCCTGGTGTTATCTTGCCTGTTTCACAGTACTGCCCATGTTCAGCTCCTGGTCAGCAGGAACCCTTTTGCTGGAGCTTTCCCTGGAGCTGTCTGGCAGTGCTGAGCACATCGTGCCCCCAGGCAGCCCCCGGTTCTGGCTGGAGCCTGGGACTCTGCACATGGTCCCGTTTGAATCGGACCCTTTGTTTTTTTCAGGCTATTTCTCTGATTGTCGAGATCATTTTGAATTCTGTCCTTGCCTGCAGGATACTTGCAATCCCTTGTAGCTTTTCACTACATCAATAAGTTTACTGTTTATTATTTGGTGGCTGCGAGGCCTGGCCCACACTCAGTTTTATACCCTGTGTGTGCATCAGGTGGGTCATGACTTCTTTTTTCTTTTTAACAAATGCAAATAAACCGGTAAATACCAATTAGGGCTGTCGTTATAAAGGTACTTTATCCTGGCATAGCTCCTTTCCCGTGCTGTACAGCAGTAACTGTGCCAAGTTAAGCCTTTAAAATTTGGCGTTGTGCTGCTCTGTGCATGTGTGTGTGGTTGAAGGGCTGGGAATTCTGTGTGTAGACAGACTTTCATTGATACTACAACACATGTGGAATAAATAATAGCATTCTTTCCCCCCTGGCAGCCCTAGATGTGTGTATTTTAAGAGCCTGCCACCCTGCCACTGCTATGATTATTATTTTTTTCTCTAACAGAAACAGTGAGACATAATCCATTGCCATAGTTTAACCTTCTTTATCACAAACCCCGTGAAGCAGCCTGTAATCCCAGGGGAGGAAAGTGATATTGTTTGAGCTTTGTTGCTGTTCCAATTAAATCCTTGCTTTTGTGCAAAATACCTTGCTGTAAAAAGGACAGTACTGAAGTGGTCCATTTGTGGAGGCTTCTCTGTTTTATTCTCAGTCCTCCATCATCATCATCTTCCCTTATAATTAGACAACAAAACAGTACAAGCTGTGTCACCCTGCAGACGCATTGTAAAGCTAAGTGCATTCAATGACCCAGAGCATGGCATTATCTCCAGTAATGCATACCTCAGAGTATCTCATTGTGCTTATAACAGTTTCAGTATTTTTAATTGCCATTTGTATATCCAACCCTTAGAAAGCTACACATCAGGCTTTAATGGTTTGTAATTGCATGACTCAGAGTTTTAGATCAGGTTTTCCTGTATCTACAGTAGTCTTACAAGAGCTTTTAATTTCTTCCTCTGAACATGAGCTCTTGTACTCCTTGAAGAGCATGAATGTAGCTCCTTGACTGCAGATCTTTTTTTTTTTTTTCTGGCAGCTATGGATAAATTAGTTTCTCATTTGTCATAGATAATATTTTTATATTGAAAGTGAGCTTGAAATTACTTATATATACTTCAGCACATAAAAAGGGGAAGGTTAAAAATCATGTTTGAATTGGCAGTTGTTAAAATGCAATTATACCTCCCCAAGGTAGCATGGCAGAAGAAAATATTTTAAAAGTTCTCTCTGAAAGTTTAAAAATTCAATTAATGTCATAGGTGTCTAAGCCTAGAGACTTCACTTCAGAGGAGCAGTTGCTACCCAAGTTCTTGAGCTTTTATAAAGTCACCTTAAACCCTGTTAGCAGGCTTCATCAAATCTGCTTCTCTAGTGCATGAAGTGCAAAAGGTATGTAAATAAGCATGAGAGTTTTGAGGTGTGCTTTTGTAGAAGGGCATATCAGGATCACCTGTTGGGATTTTTTTCTCAATCCAAAAGTGTAAGTTAATAGTCCCTTTACCCCTTTTTAGCCCTTCAGTGCTTTTGAGGGGCTCCTGCTAATAATTAGGAAATGGTTTTCACATTCTTCCCCATTTTTAAGTTTCGGGGCTCACGTGCTTCTCCATAGCTTTTAGAGCAGACACACTTAATGAAAAGGGTGTCGCTTTCAGAGTGACCTGTCATGGAGCTATAAATGGAAGTCAAGTCTCTTTTTGAAGTCCTGGGCCAGATTCTGTGCTCCCAAAATCCATGCTATCAATATGTGTAACTGATGTGATGCAAACACTATCAGGACTGATTCATTCTCTGCTCTGTCGTGCTCAGTCTTTCCAGCAGCAACATAACTAATTCTAGTTCTTGACCTGAATGATAACAAGGTAATAGTAAATGGTATACCGACCTTGATAGCCGTGAGAAAAAACATTAGCTGAAAATATTTTCTCATCTTAGTTTGCTAGAATTTTTTTTCTGAGAAACACTAAGATACGAAGTAACAGAAAAGTTTTCCAATTACAGCTCTTTCTTACAGGTTAATATGTTTTCTTATAAATAGCTCAGATCTGAATCCAGCAGAAGAAACTTATTCCCAGGAGAGTATATGCTAGCTGTGCCTGAAAGCACTGCACGAGCTGTCTGTGGAGCTTAGCCTGGCAGCTAAACTTCGTGAGGTATTTGGAGATAAGGCAGCACTGCCTTGTCCAGGAGAAAAGCTCTTGGGGTAGAATGACCTGGAAGCACTTTTTGACATGATACCGCGAAACGAAACGGTGCCAGCAGTGAGGAGGGTTTGGCAGGGCTGTGTCACACACAGAATCCTTCCAGACAAAGGGTCTAAGGGCAAATGTTTCCTTGTCCATGACAGACGTCCACAGGTTGCTAGAAGGCCTTCTCCCGTGTTGGGCAGGATAAGCCCTTTGCCGAGATAAGGCGGTTGGCAGAGATTGCAGTGGGCAGTCTGACTTCCCATGTGGTTTATCAGTCTTGGCATCAACATTTTACTTCCTCCCATTTTACTGTCTTATCAGCCACCCGGATTTCACCACATTGTTTTTCTAATCAACGTCCTTTCTCTCCCCTGCCATGATGGCTACGATCAGCTGGAGGCGTTCTACTCCATCTTCACCACTGAACAGCAAGACCACGTCAAGTCCGTGGAGTACCTGAGGAATAACTTCCGACCACAGCAAAGCCTGAACAACAGGAAGGTGTCCAAGTCTGCCGTGAAGGATGCTTGGAACCAAGATTTGACAGACATCTTGGAAAATCCACTCGGCACTGAAGCTTCCAAAGGTAGATTTATACTTAAGAATTTTACAGTTGGCTAATAGGAGAATTTTTTTTGTCTACTTTGTCATCAAACGGTGTTGAGGACAGCTGTGAGCTACCAACGAAATAATGCGGGTTATGCTGGCATTTCTTGTCGGTATGTGTCAATAAATTAACTAATCCTGGTTATGCTGCAATTAGCTGTGAAACTCACTATCACAAGGTGCCATGGCAATAAAGCCCTAGAATATATGAGCCTCAAAGCCACAGGATATGTAAGTCTCAAACTGATGATGCCCCTGTTTCTGCCAGTTGGCTGAAGGGCCTTAAAGATGCCTGACAAAAGGGAAACACGGAGGGACGAGGTCAAAGGTAAAAATTCAGCCCCATTAGCACTGACACACTGGGTGTTTGAATGCAAATAGAGTATCCAGGTGTGGTTATGGGATTCATTTCTACAGTAACAAGACTTTTGAAGAACTGTCGACCTTTTAATTCAACGTTTGTATCAGTCTGTTGGTAACGGTGACAGGAGGAAAAAAAACCCCTTCCTTATAGGCAGGTGATTTTCTAATGTCTTGCTGAAGCGTTTCATGTGCCTTTTTGCAGAGCAGCTGGCGCTTGCTTCTGTCAGACACCGGATAATGAGCTGGATGGAGGGGGGTGGGAGGGAGGTTGCAGTCGCATTGGCACAGACAGCCCTGGCTAGAGGAGCACATCAGAAATTCTGAGAGAAACGTGCACTGGATAAAATAAGACTGGAAATAAATATCGTTTACTACCTTTATTTGCCTTTATTTTATTGACTGGTGTTATTTATGAGCAGGAGGAATGACATGTACTTCCCAGTCTTCAGTCTTGCGAAGTGCTTGGTGATTAACCAGTTCTAGGTAGAGGCAAAGAAAAGAGGGGCAGTTTGCCAGAAGGAAACAGCTAAGCAGATTTACAAGCTTCCCTTTCGTACCTGGCATTTTCACCTGGCCAGGCGCAGAAAGTGTAGATTTTAGAGGACGTGAATCATGAAAACAGCTGCGTTCAGCAGCCTCACCGTCCCAAGAGAGTGCTAGGAGAGTGAATTTCTCAGGGCTCATTATTCTGTGAGCGTGCTTATTTTTATATAGATATAGATATATATATAATATACACGTACACAAACCTCATGTGCGTTAAAGGCAGCCTTGGGACGGAGAATTTACATCAGAAGTGAGAAGATCTTGGGAATGAAGAAACTCTGCTATGCTCGGATGCTCTGGCCTGCAGTTTCCAATCAGTGTTGTAACAGCAACATGTGTCTGCAATTTCTTCAGTTATATCCTGCACATATTATTTACCCAGAACAGTGATGAAAGTTAATGGGTTACATTATGTTAAAAGTGACAAAACTGACTAGTTTTTATTTTGAGTGCAGCCAAGGTACCTCTGGTACATGTGGTGTAATATTCAAGAGGATTTTACTGCTTTGGCCACATGCCTGCATATTCCTCACCTCACTGGATCGTTTTTAAGATTATAAAGATGCTTTGGGTGATTTTGCAGCACCATAGTAAATAACTGAAACCCACAATTTTGTCAGAATGTTACAAACACTAAGGTCTGTAGTTAATGGGCTGATATTGAATGTGGAAGCAACGAGACCAAAGGAGAACTTGAATAACTGGAAAGATTCACCTTGACTTGGATCTCTAAGAACCAAGCATACATGGCTTAGTTAACAGGATGTGAGCCAGTCCACAGAAGCAAGGGAGCTGCACAACCACTAGTCCATGTTTAGATAGCTTGGTGTTCAGGTACTTGACACTTGCCATGCTTGGGGACTGGTTTCCTCAGCAGGTTCTCTCTGGGTCCTCTCTCATCATGTCCAAGTACAGTAATGCCTGCCTGGGAATTTGAGCTTACAACATGCTCAAGAGAGACCCTCAGGTGGGGGACATGCATTTCCTGTGGTCTGACAACATTCAGCATGCCATCTAATGGCAGGGATGGTGCTGGAGTCAGTGATTTCTTTTTCCCTTGAGCTTTTGCTATAGGAGGCTAATGGCTGGGCAGCCACTCATTCTGTACCAGCTCTGTCAGCTTGTCACTTTCTGGGTTGTGTGCACACCAGGGGACACTGAAAAGAGGTGCATTTTTTTCATGAACTTATAAATAAATAGGTTGCTGCAGTGTTGCTAGCACAAAATGGATTGTAGTATATCCTGCAAAGGTTACAGGGATGAGATATAGCTGTTCCAGGGATATAACAACGTGGATGTTTCTGGCCCCTTCTTTGACAAAGGTGAACAGTGATGATGTGCCTGGTCCACTGCACATTCTGAACTACTGACATATAAACGAAATGAGTTGAAGTCGTAATACTTGAGTGAAAGCAAAACCTATTGTTTATTCAGCTAGTAAATACAGTACCTCTTTATATAGTGTCATTCATGCAAAAGTACTGAGAAGCCAAGTGCACAGAGTGCTTTCCAGCCAGACAGTCTAGCATGCAAGTGTAAGAGTATAGGGTTAGCATAACAAATTCATTTTATGCAGACTCTTCTGCATACCTCATGGTTGCACCTCAGCGCTTTCCACATTGCATTAAGCAGTGTGACCAGTGGCTGTCACATGTTGGCTCTTGTCTGCCCTCCCTGTTCTTGAATCGTGTGTTGTAAAGGCAAGGTCACGAAAATGTGTCTCTTACTTGCTGCAAGGTGATATGGTTTGTGATGGTCTTCAGCTCTGGAGGGGAAGTTCGGGTTTGTTTGTCGGTGTGAATTTTTGCAGTTTGTTTCCTCTGTCACACTCTATTAAGTCAGTGGGCAGTGTTGCTAATCTGGAAAACAGTGTAGTGTTCATTATGTAAGCCTTTCTTATTTTGGAGAAAAATGTGCCCAGAACAATTTGCATAATGTTCAGAATAATTTTCAGAATTCCCCAGTGAATAGGGAATTTCAGATCAGCACAAAGTGATGCAGCTCTGCAGTTGTCCATTGGCAAACGTGCTATCCTGAACAGTTTGGCAGCAAACAGGAATGTCTTTTTTTCCAGCTATCAAAGCTATTTCAGGTCATAGAACTGTGACCAGTAGCATAACCTGCAGATACACTGGAGGAAAACTATTTCTCACTTTGTCAGTCCTCTGAGTATTTCCTTACCAAAACCCTGGAAGTGGTGGCATTTGGTAAACAAAATGTCTTCTGGGAAAGGCTATTTTAGGTCAACCAGAACTGTCAGTGCGTTTGGATCCAGTTTGTTAAGCAGTATGAACGTTACCAGCCTTTTGTTTTGCCGTGACTCTCCTCTCCCTCCTCTATTTTCAATTTTAAGGAGGCAGTGAAGAGAGGGGCAGTGTTTTCAATCATCAGAATACAAGATGGTGAAAAAATACTTTAGCTAATGTGAAATAGGGCAAATTTTTCACTTCGAAGTGAAAACTCCAGGTTCTCTTTTGTGTCAAGTTTAGCAAGAAGAGTTTTCCTTGATTCCATTATCTCATTCCTTCCTCCTGTTGGCAAAAGCTGATTTAAAACAGTTCTCTTGAGAGCTGCTTGTATTCCTAGAATAAAAGCATATGCATAAGACCTTTGCTGAATCAGAGCCCATGAGCTGAGCTTAATTCTTAAGTTGACCCTGGAGCTATTTCAAGAAACCGTAAGATCTTTAAAGATTTTATTTGAGAAACGGACCATTCAGGTTAAATGCTGTTCAACTATATAATTGTAGTAGCTGGTGGATTGATAATAAAGCATTGTGCAATGATACTTTTTAAGAAGATGAACCTTTCAGAGGTCCAGGGTATACAGTGGATCTTGCTTCTTGGATCATCCTGTTAAATCAGGCAGATCATTCGGGCCTGTAAAATTTAACAAGAGGGCTCACCCATGTTACAGTACTGATTTATGTAAAGTTTGGGAAAGTTAGAGGTTCTCTGTACAGACATACTAAACAGGGAATGCATTTATAAAATATTAATCAGATATTGTAAGTATCAGTGACAGTGGTAGTGTTTGACTTTTTGCACATGATCATCTCTGTTAAAATTGCCTCCTTTCTCCTCTAGCCTGTCCTCTGTGGCTCAGGATTATGTTGCTCTGTGACATCATATATTGTGCTCCTGCAGCTCCTGGGCTGCTTTTGAGCAGCTCTACTAGAGGGATTGATAATTATTTACTGCTTTAGTAGTGTATGTTGCTCTTTAGGGGCAAATAGACAGAATTCTTACATGGAAGTCCATCCAGTTTAACGGTCTAAGTCTGCATGAACCTTACTATTTTCACATGTTGTCCCATCAAGCAGAGGTGTATTTACAAAACATTACCTGCTTCAGTAAATGTGTAGGCGTGGAAACTCAGGAAGAAAAGGTGTTTCATTTCCTTATTTCAGGAAGCACCCCATGTGCAACAATACTTGCCTGTTTTATTTTGCTGCTGATTACATCAAATGTTATTTCTTTCTCTTTATGTTTATTTTACACTCAAAAAACCCCCAACCCACCTTTAACCTTTCTGTCTCATTAAACGTGCTGCAAGCCTTACAACACTTAAACAAGAATCCCATGTGAGGGGCTCTTGACATCAGAGTTTTCTTTCACAGATGCCTGATTACTTCCCCAAAGGTGTCTGATTACTCTTTGCTGGAGTCTCAAATGATGCTGTTTCCCATCAGTGGGATTTCGCCTTAGAGTACCATCTGTAATTATGATCCTAGACTAAGTTAAATAATGAGCAGTCATAAATTCACTCCAGTAAAACTTAGCTTTGGACTCTAAATTAACAGCTGGGACATTTCTCTAGTAGTGCACAGGTGGTGATTTTCCTTACTGTTCTTTTTGTTACACACAGTTTGGAAGTCCTTTTAAATTTTTGCTACTAAAACATGGATAGAATATATTTGGATTTTCCCTCCTTCATTGCTTTGTGTTGGAGACATGGCTTAGGCCATCAACCTGCACTCAAAGGAACTGCACTGCTCAATCAAAGCAGTTTAGTTCTTACTTACTATTTCATGGCTCCTGATGTCAGAAGTGAAACCACAGCCACCTGCCA